TCTGTTCATCTAACATCCATCCTTCTGTTCATCCATCCATCCATCCACCCATCCATCCATCAGTTCATCTATTCATACATCCATCCATCCAACTATTCATCCATCCTTCTGTTCATCCATCTATCCATCCATCCATTCATTCTTCTGTCCATCCTTCCATCCATCCATCCATCTGTCCATCCATCCATTCCTGCATTCATCCATCATTTCTCTCCAAGAACAAAAACCTGTGACTGCTTTCAAAACCTAATGAGAAGACGTTCTGCTAGTTTCAGATCCTCAGTGGACCATGTGGTTGCACACTGACGAGAACTAAATTCTGTCCTCACTATTGAAGAAATACTGGCGCATTACTATTAACAATCGAAGATGAAAGCATTGTTATCCAGTGAGTGATAGAAACATGGCTTTTGTTAAGAACGTTTCCTTACTTTTTTATTAATGTCGTTTAGATACTTTTATTACAGATGCTAGAAAAATCAGCTGAAGTGGAATAAACTTCACATCATCTTGAAACATTATACTGAATGTTTCAAAGAAAAAATCAGGTTATGTTTATGTTTTGTGGGCAGCTGGTGGCGCAACTGGTAGAGCTGTTGCCTCTCAGCGAGAAGGTCGCTGGTTCAAATCCCGGTCCAGGGGCCTTCCTGGACAAAGTTTGCATGTTCTCTCCGTGCATGTGTGGGTTTTCTCCAGGTACTTGTTTCCTCCCACAGACCAAAAACATGCATGTTAGTCTGATTGGTAACTCTAAATTGTCCCTAGTTGTGAGTGAGAGAGTGAATGTTTGTTTGTCTCGTTTGTCTCTATGTGTCCCTGTGATGGACTCGAGACCTGTTCAGGGTGTACCCCACCCCTCACACAGTGATTGCTGGACATGGGCACCGGCGACACTCGGGACCCAAAATGGAAGAAGCGGGTAAAAGATAATGGATGGATGGTTTATGTCTTGTCATTTAGCAGACACTTTCACATAACTTAAAAGTTTATTCCAGTTAGCATACTGGGGGCAATATTAGTGTCATATCTCCAAAGACATGGCAGAGCTTGAGATCAAGCTCCTAAATATGGTAAATGATAAATGGACTGTACTTATATAACACTTTTCTATATAATCAAAATACTTAAAGCACTTTACAACACAATCCAATTATACACATTCATACAGCACTCTATTAGATCTCTACAAAGATAATCAAATCATTCTATAATCAGAGCTTTATCACATTCATACACTGATGGGACACACATCAGAGGCAATGAGGGATTCAGTGTCTTGCCCAGGGACACTTCAACATGTGACTGCTGATGGAATTGAACCCCCAACTCTCCCGTTGGAGGACAACTACTCTAACCACTCAACCACAGCTGCCCCCAATATCCAACTGGGAGACAACCACTTTAATTCTCAGCCACTGCTTTCCTCTACTGAGCCTTCATGGGCTCATCTGGGATTCAGAAAGTGTTGGCAGTTCAGTGCCGTGCTCTACTTACTGTGATCATTACAAGAAGTGCCAGCATCATTCCCAGCATTATGTACAAATTATTGGTCAGTCCTCCAGCCCACAGAGGACCCAGGATGGTGGCCAGACCTCCAACTGAGCGTCGGACTCCTTGACTAAAGCCTTTTGGTGAAACATAAAAATATATATAAAATAGCAGCAATAAAATACCATTATTGAAAAGTACATGTAATACACAATGAAGTACCACATATTAGCAGTATATTGCTTTCACTTTTATGGTTTTAGCTTGTTGAAAATGAAATAAGTTTTTCTTTAAAATTAATAAGTTTTGGTAAAGGTAAAAAGGTATTAGTAAAATTGAACCTTGTGTTTTCTCAGCAGTGACTTTAGAGAAGAGTGACACCTGTGACACAGCAACAAAGGGAAGGCCCAGCAGCTGCAGAAACACCCCGATGATGAAGGCAGACAGCTTCCATTCATATCCACCTGTCAGAGATGGAAAAGTTTGTCACAGTCTAAATGGTTTATTTTGTATGGTTTATGTATGAATGGTTTATTTACTATAGATCATGACATCTTATGCCATAAACTCTAAGAAATTGGTTTCTGAGATGACACTATTGGTTGTTCTCTAATATCTCTCAGATCGGAGGCAATGTGTCCAACATAATGGTACTTGTTTCAGTTATCTAACTGTTAACAATGGTGTACCACAAGGTTCAGTCTTAGGACCCACCCTCTTTACAATCTACATACTGTAAGTAATGTAGGTCAGACCATCTCTGATGCATCCTTACATTTCTATGCTGATGACACAGTTGTTTATTGTCGAGCTAAAACAGTTGCTAAGGTTTTCCAGCTTTTACAGTCGGCATTTGACATCATCCAGTCTGATTTGTTCTGTCACAAAACCTAAGGGATGTTGTTTTCAAACACAAAGTCAGTCCCAGCAGTCCTTCCCTCTATTTTATCTTCGAATTGTGCTCCTATTGAGTTTGTCAATTCTTATAAATACTTGAGTATTTTTGATCGATTCACATCTCGCTTTTAAGCCTCATGTTGAAAACAGTAAGGAAACTAAAAGTTAAACTGGGTTTCTTTTTCAGTAATAGATCCTGTCTAACTCTGAATGTTAGGAAACACCTTGTAACTGTGACTTTCCTTCCCTCCATTGACTATGGTGACATTATTTACATGAATGCTCCTACGAGCACCCTGCAGATGTTGGATGATGTCTATCATGGTGCGCTAATATTCATAACTGGCTGTAATTATTGTACCCATCATTGCACCTTGTATTCACTGGTTAACTGGTCATCATTAACTTTATACAGACTCTCTCACTGGTACATTTTCATCTTTAAATCAATTCTTGGTTTGTTGCCTTCATACATCTTCTCCTACATGTCACTTTGTGAGTGCAGTTACATCGTGCGCTCTCAGGACATTATTACCTGCAGTGTTCCCTCAGTGAGGACTGAACTTGACAAAAGAGCCTTCTCTTGTAGCTGTTTTTGTTTCATTTTTATATAATTTCTTCTATTTACTTTTTCATTTTATATGATTTTTATACGATTGTCTATTGTTGTTTGTGCCTCTTCTGTGTTCTTTGTTAAAAAAGGTCTCTCTTGTAAATGAGTCCTCATGGCTCAATGAGACTAACCTGTATAAATAAAGATTGAATGAACAAATGTAAAAGGGTGTGTTTTTAACCACAATCTAACATAATCTGGTCAACAGATCTTTTTAGGATTCATCTGAATATTTGGTTGCTTTTTCAAAAAGGCTCACGTATCATTCCTCAGTTACTTCTCATCCATGATGGATTTTTACTTCCCTCCACAAATGGGCTGGCACCAGCACAGATAGCTTGGTCTGAAAATGAAGCCCATGCCAACCTGGCAGCCAGTTGATTTTTGTTCTCGGCTGCCTTGCATCATGCACATGTTTGTGTGAATTTGTGCCCACGCGAATGTTTGGATGTTCCAGTTTGAGCTGCACATCAATAATCTCACAATAAAAAGGCAGTCTTGCCAATTAAACCACTTTCTTAGAGGTCCAAGATGAGAAATCACTTCTCCACAGGTGTCTGTCGTAAAGTCTCTGTTTTTGCTTGTTTGAGTGTTCAACTGTAACAAACAGGGAACAAATGCAGGCTATGATTTAACAAACAGCATTTTTCTCTAATTGGATTACTATAATCCTTTATATGTACCCAGGCTCTACTCAGCTCCAGCACCTGTCACTTGTAATCAGAGCGATAAACGTGACGAGCTGCAACAGATGCAGGCCAACGTGAACACACGAGGTCTGGCCTGCCTGTGAGATCTCCTGCTGGCTTGAACGATATCATTTATGGAGGTTCATCCACAATGTGACCCAGTATGGCTCCACTGTGCTCGACACATCAACACGAGTCACACAAAGAGGGACTGGCTCAGGAACAGAGGCACGTTTTGAGTTTGTGTGTAAGTTTGCGTGTGGGTCTGGGTGTGTTTGTGTGTTTTCGCTGGCAGGTTAGCACCTCGGGGGTTGCAGAGGAAAATGAGGCACCAGATACAGGCGGTGCAGCAGATGACCAGGCCTGCAGCCAGCACCACACGGTCCGCCACCTTCCTACTCAGCCAGCGCACAAAGAAGAAGCCCAGGATGACCTCCACCCCACACAGGCTGTACATCAAACTGTTGCCCAGCTCACCGAAGCCAAAGTAGTGCTGTGTCAGAGGCGTCACCATGGTCTAGGATTGTTAAAACACAAACTGCAGTCAGGGATGGAAGCTCATTTTGATTAGGTGAAACAAGCACACACAATAAAATACAATTTTTGGACAAACTATACATGTCAAGCATTGCATCATCCATCCATTATCTTTACCTGCTTCTTCCTTTTCGGGTCACTGGTGCCCATGTCCAACCATCACTGTGCGAGACACTCTGGACAGGTTTCCAGTCCATCACAGGGACACATAGAGACAAACAATCATTCACTCTCTCACTCACACCTAGAGACAATTTAGAGTTACCAATCAGTTTAACATGCATGTTTTTGGTCTGTGGGAGGAAACTGGAGTACCCAGAGAAAACCCACACATGCACGGAGAGAACATGCAAACTCCACCCAGAAAGGACCAGGATTTGATCCAGTGATCTGCTCGTTGAGGTGGCAGCTCTACCAACTGCACCACCATGCCGCCCAGCATTGCATCAAGCAAACAAAAAAAATCTGAAGTGATCATTCAAACAACTCAAAGTTTGTCTAGAAGTGTCCAACACAGAAAACACAAAAATCTAAAACATAAAAAAAATTTGAGATGACTTTATGAGCGTAGATCACCAAAACATTGAGTGAACTCGTTTAGAGCAGTGCTTCTCAAACTTATTATGATGTCATCTCAGAAAATGCTACGGTCTTCAAGTATCACCATTATGACACAGACAATGCATAACAGTGGTGCAAACTGTCCAAACTCCTAAACCCAAGCCTGGTTGAGTGGTGCAGTTTAAGATGTGATGGTTCCATACCATCATCACATACTTTGTGGTTTTGGCTCTTCTTCTGCCCCAGAACTACTTAATACACATGAGAACCCAATCAGCTTTCCTCACTTTTTTGTGCTTTTGTTGCTTTCAGGTCCTTGAGTCTTCACTGGTAGTACTTAGATATCCATAGCACATCTGCTAACCATCATCCACTTCAGCTTCCAAAGGGATTCTTCAAGTATGCTCCATTGCACTTCTCTTTCCGGTTGTTTCTATTTGGAGCCAAGATTGCAATGTGCTTGAACCACTCATCTTGTTGTCTACCTCTGCTGTTTTGCTTTGTTATTTCATTTGTAAAAAGTGGATTCTAAAATATCTTATGGACTACCACTAGAGGGGTCCTGAAAACCACCAGTGGCTTAATACTAGTACCAGTTTCAGGACCATGATTATAAAGAAGAAACAACAGTCTGACTCGTGGCAATGTTTTGTAATTTTGCAAAGACAACTGAAGGTATTGGGTCTGAAGATAGACGTAGTCTCAGGTAATAAAAAGAAGCAAATCTGAAAAAAGGTTATAAAATGTAAGGTAGCAACAATATTGAGTTCTATAAAATGAGAAAAGATCCTGTTAAGTCCAAAGTTAGCCTTTGACATGTTATTAGCATAGTAGGGTAATAAAAATGGCATATGAACAGATGCATCCATCATGCTTTGCTGCTCTGGGGGCAGATTCTGAGGTTACTCCATTTGATCAGGTCACGGTTCAGTTATGTTTGTGAGGTCAGCTGACTACCTAAATATACTGAAAAATCAGGATTTTTCCATCAATAAGTTTCTCAGTCCCTGTTGGCATGGACTGACTTTATACTGTGATATCAGGATTAGTTGTCTTCATGTTGTCTATCTTCCCTTTAATTTTGCAGAGATTTTTTTTAATTACCGTAGTTTCCAGACTATAAGCCACTACTTTTTTTACACGCTCTGAATGCTTATGCTGCAGCTAATGTATGGATTTCTGTTTTTTTTTTTGACACGCTAACGAGTTTCATGCTACCAAAACATTTAACCTCATCACACCCCAGGTGCTCACATAGCTGCCCAATACATGTCTCTCTTGGGGGTTGGGTCCTGGTGACTCAGTGAGACTAACTGTATAAATAAAGGTTAAAAAAATAATCTGACCAATGAAATTACTGAACAGGTCACAATGGACAAAGGTCCATTCCCAGTCTCTTGTTCTCTCCTCCCCTCCCCTTATGTGGAGGGAGAAACGTGATGAAGAGGACAGCATAAGCTCATGGGCGCAGCGTATATACGTCTGTGGTGCAGGAGGAAGATGAAGATAGCGATCAATTACTTCCTGGTAGGCTACTGTTTTTTTGTTTTTTTTTAACCAGATGTGTTACAGGTACTGTTCAGAAAAAAACATTTATTTTATGTATTTGTGTATGTTACCGATACGTATTTATGTATGTTTTTTTATTAAAAGTTCAAAAAATCTTTCTGTGTAAATGTCTCACGTTACAATGTGGCTTGCAGCCAGCAGTATATAGCTATGTACAACTTTTAGTAGTGGGTATGGCTTATATTCAGCTGCGCTCTATAGTCTGGAAATTACGGTATTATGAAGACTTTACAAACTGGTCACACCTTCTTGTGACCAGTAAAACTTTTGGTGACATTACAGCTCTGGCAAACTTGTCCAGATTCACCAAAAATTGTGTTGTATCAAAAATGTGTTTTTGATTTGATGGCTATAGTCAGGGATTTTGCACATTTATGTTATTCACAAAGACCTCACAAAAGAAGACATGTGCTTCAAATTGTGCTGGCAAACAAAGAGTGGCTCTCCGTGTTCATGGACTTTGCTCACTTTAAAAAAGAGGTGCTGCACATCTTCTTAATTAAGGCTGATTAAAGCCTGTGAGCATTTTTAAAATACAATAAATGCACATCATAATTTAAGCTAAAGTTAGTCCGATAAAATATTGAGGTATTTTTTTTCAGGCAGTGTTCAAACCATTCAACTCTTTGCCACAATATTCTGAGGAACCTGAAGACCACTTCGCTTTTACTGTGCACTTGTTGCAGGAGTCTTTGCCGGCAAACTTCAAACTGATACACTGTGAATTCAACCATCCTTAAAACTGTGTAGCATCAGGAAAAATATTTAGAAACTTTAGCTGAAGGATCTCAGAGAAAGCTGCTCTCACCTCTAGGGCTGTCTGGTTGAAGAGAGTGATGAACTGAGCCGTGAGGAGAACAACCACCTCTTCTCTCAAGAACTCTGCGCATTGAAATACAAATAAATGAAGAGGGAAATCAGAAAACAAGTTTAGCTGAGAGCTTTTATTTGTGAGTAATGAATAGATGAAGACATTTTCTGAGCAACGAAATCTTGGACAATCTGAAAACTAAGCAGGCATGAAGAAATCCTGATTGAGCATGTTGATTTTCTTCTCCGTTTGTTTTGCTAAAGATAAGTGCAAATTTGTGCTTTTGCCTTCTGACAGCACGAGAGAAAAATAGATTTTAATAAATTCAAAGCTTTTGATACCAGCTTTCTCTGGAACAGAAACTCCCTTCTGGACGTTGTGAGGAGGAAAACGAACTGGCTTGCTGCTAAATTTGGATGTTTACACCAGATGGCTGGAGGAGAGGCTTGATATTACAGTGTGTAGTTCAGTTCTCCCTTTTTAGTATTTTATTACTATTCACATGTGTTATGTTTATCTCTGCATTACTAGGTGAACAAAACTTCTAGACGCATCATTGCCCAGAGGTAAAAACAGATCAATAAGAATTAAAAGAGCTTCTGTAAGAATCTATCATGCTTCAAAAATGTTTAAAAAAAGTTTTTTAAACAAATGTCAGTGCACTACAGGCTGAGATACTTGTTGATGCTTAAATGTTTAATGTGTCTATGTCTGTAGTAGAACTGTGCATCTTAAAGATGCTGCTGAATCACTTTGATGAAAGTTGCTTGAAAAGTTTTGTGGTATTTTATACACAAGTCCTACTAATGACCCCCAACTAAAATAATAAAAAATAATTAAAAAATAATTAAAAAAGAAATGAATAAATACACTACTAATGTGACATAGTTCTCAGATTTCCTTCATTTTTGATGTTTAATTGTGTACCTGCCTGACCCTACAATCATTAAAATTGTCATGACTCGAGGAACCCAGATGGAGCGAAACCAGAAAAGACAAG